TAATATATATATATATATATATATATATATATATAAATATATAAAAAATTGATGTGGGTACTCAAATGAAAGGTCTCGATGAGTGTAATGTCGGGGTGAGCTTATATCTTTAAAAATGTCAGTAGTTCACAAGATACAAGGTCATTCCTTAATTATTGATATTTTTGAAGATATAAGCTCATCCCTATGTTACACTCATTATGAGCTTTCATTTGAGTACCCACATGCATTTTCATATATTTTTCATATTTACATATATGTAATATATATAAATATATGAAAAATTGATGTGGGTACTCAAATGAAAGGTCTCAATGAGTGTTATGTCAGGGTGAGTTTATATCTTAAAAAATGTCAATAATTACGAAATGAGGTTGTATTTTTGACACTAATGATATTTTCAACGATATAAGCTCATTCCGATGTTATACTCATCAAAACCTTTCATTTGAGTATCTACACGATTTTTTTCATATATTTTATATATATGATATTTCTCATATTTTTGAAATATATAAAATATATGGAAAAAATCATGTGTGTACTCAAATGAAAGGTCTCGATAAGAGTAATGTTGGGGTGAGTTTATATCTTTAAAAATGTCAATAATTAAGAAATTAGATTGTATTTTGTCCACTGACGATATTTCTAACGATATAAGCTCATCTTAGAGTTACACTTATCAAGACCTTTCATTTGAGTACCGACATCGATTTTTCATATATTTATATATACACTATATATGTATATATCAATAATATATCAAAATGCATGTGGGTACTCAAATGAAAGGTCTCGATGAGCGTAACATCAGGATAAGCTAAAATCTTTAAAAATATTTAGATTTTTTAAATAAAAAGTGAGTATAAAAATTAAACTTGGCCACTTTTTATGACTCTACAGCTTCAATAGATAAATTCCACTAGATTGGGTACACTGATTATTTTCTAATAAAAAAAAATCTATATCTAAAATAAAATGAATAATAAAATAATAATTGTAATAAAAGTAAAAGAATTTTTTTTTTTCGGTGAAAATAATTTTAATCTCATATCTTCATTATAAAAAATTATGATATTACTTTTTAATAATTGATCTTCACGTTAAAAAATATTTTCTAATTATTAATAAGTGTAATTATCTTAAAAAAAAAAATTTTTATTAACAGCTGATATATTCTTCTTTTATTGTACTTATTAAATAAAATAAAATAATTTATTTAATTTTTAGGATGGATTAACTGCATTGAACATTGCACAAAAATTGGGATACATTTCAGTGATGGAAGTTCTCAAAGGGTTAGATTACGACACGCAGACTCCCGACAATAAAACATGGGAAGAAAAGTACAAAGTTATCGCTCCAGAGAGTCTGCAAGAAACTTGTTTCATGTCAGACTCCGATGACGAAGGAGGTAATTAATAAAAACTTAAAACTCTTCCAACAGTAATATTATTAATTAATTAATTAATTATTAATAATTAGTTTCAGATGGCTTAACTAACGAGCAGCCGTACAGATACTTAACAGCAGACATAATGAAGAGTTTACGCGACGATTCGTTGCCAATTGATGTGACGCGTGATGACCCAATTCATCGGCAATTATCTCACGAAGAAAAACAAGAATTTACTCAGAGTAGTAATTATTGCCCGCCGGAAAATTTCGATTCGACTGATGCAATTAACGTCGGGTATGTTAATTTATTTATCTAAATATTTTGATGAGAAAATTAATTAAAGTTGCTAATTACTAATTACAATAAATTATTTCAGAAGACTGCATTTTAGATCGTAAGTTTAAATTATTTTACTTTTAATAAAATTAAATTTATGATTAATAATTATTGATTTTTTTTTTGTTAGTTTTTTAGTAAGTTTTCTGGTAGACGCACGTGGAGGAACTATGAAAGGTTGTCGTCACAGTGGAATACGAATTATAGTACCTCCAGGAAGAGCTACTATGCCAATTCGCGTAACTTGTAGGCTTTTGAAACCTAGTAAAGTTGCGAATCCTCCAGCGTTGATGGAAGGTGAAGCTCTGGCGACGCGTATCATTGAAATGGGTCCTGTTGGTGCTACATTTTTAGGGTAATTATTATTATTATTAATATTTAATAAATTATTTATTAAATATTAATTAGAAGAATAACTTTTATGCAATAATAATATTAATAATAATTATAATAATATTGTTACTAACAATTAATGATAAGTAAATTGATCAGTGTCATTGAAAAATTAAAAATGAAATTTAGGGATATAATAATAATAATATAAAAAATAAAATTCTATTATTATTAGAGAATTCTATTGTTAATAGAAAATTTCTATTAGTTTATTAAAATTCCATTATTAATAAAAACATTTTATTTGTCTATTAAAGTTCTATTGTTGATAAGAAATTTGAATAATCCATTGAAATTTCTTTGTTAACATAAAATTCCATTAGCTTAGTAAAATTCTACTATTAATAGAAAATTCCATTAATCCATTAAAATTCTATTGTTAATAGAAAATTCTATTTTTCCATTAGAGTTCATTTATTGATGAAATCAATCTGTTAGTCTATTGAAGTTTAACAGTTGATTAAAATAAATTCCATTAATCCATTAATCTATTATTAATAGAAAATTTAATTAGTCTATTTAAATTCTATTTATAGATCAGTAAAAAATTGCATTCATCTATTAAAATTCTATTATTAATAAAAAATTCCATTAGTCTAATAAAATTCTATTATTAATGGATAATTCTATTAGTCCATTAAAATCTTTCTTATAAATAATATTGTTCTATTAGTTTATCAGTTGAAAAATTTCACTAATCCATTAAAATTCTATTATTAATAGAAGATTTGATTAGTCCATTAAAATTCCATTATTAATGGAAAATACTATTAATTCATCAAAATTTTGTTAAAAATAATATTGTTCTATTGGTTTATTAGTAAAACATTTTAATAATCTATTAAAATTCTATTATCAATAGAAAATTTCATTAGTCTATTGAAATTCCATTATTAATGGAAAATTTTATTAATTCATCAAAATTTTCATTATAAATAATATTGTTTTATTAGTTTACCATTAAAAAAATTCCAATAATCCATTAAAATTCTATTATTAATAGAAAATTCCATTATTTATGGAAATTTCTATTAATTCATCAAAATTTTATTAAAAATTATATAATTTCATTGGCTTATTAACGCAAAATATTATTAATCCATTAAAATTCTATTGTTAATAGAAAAAGTCCATTAAATTATTAAAATTCTATTACGTATGATAAGTTTAATTCCTCCGCTAAAATTATTATTATTTTTTACAAATTACAATTATTATTTTTAATTTAATTTCCAGACCAGTTTTGATAGACGTTCCGCACTTCGCATCAATAGAAGGCAAAGAACGTGAAATAATAATAATGCGAAGTGAAAACGGCGAAACATGGAAGGAACATGACAACTCACGGGACAATGACGATACACTTTTTAACACAGCTCACGACACACAAATGAGCAATTCGCACCCTGGACGAATAACTCGAATAATAACAACTGAGTTTCCTCAATACTTTGCAATTATAACCAGAATAAAGCAAGAAGTACATGTAATCGGTGCTGACGGTGGTATATTAATCTCAAGTGTCGCCAATCATGTTCAAGCCGTTTTTCCACCTGGTGCTCTCACTAAAAAAATTAAAGTCGGATTACAGGTAAATTAATATAATATTTTTAAGAAGTATTTTATTACAAAAAGAACAATAATTTATTTTTTTAAATATTTTATTTAAAAAAAAAATGAGCAATGTTGTGATGAAAAATTAATTTTTTTTTTTAATTTCAAACAATTTTATTTTTTATTACAATGCTTAATTTTAAGCCAATAGAAATTTTTTCTCTCAATGTAATTGAAAAAATTTATTAATATTAATGTGTCAGGCTCACGTGATACCAGCTGAATTGACTGCCAAGTTACTTGGAAACTGTGTAGCAGTGTCACCAGTAATTACCATCGAGCCAAGAAGACGAAAATTCCATAAACCAATAACACTGACTATACCAGTGCCTCAAGCCGCTAATAAAGGGATGATTAATGAATACGGGGGTGAAACTCCGACTTTACGTTTACTTTGTAGTATTGCTGGTAATTTAATTAATTATTTATTTATTAAAAATAAAATTAAAAAATTGAAATTTAAAAAAAATGACGTATAAAAAAATTAAAAAATGGACAAGTGTCTGCTAACTTTAATTTAATGTTATAGCTAAACATTCATTTTATTACTTATCACATTAATTCATTTTTTACTTATTTGAAGGTGGAACTAGCGAAGCTCAATGGGAAGATGTAACAGGATCAACTCCTCTGACATTTTTAAACAATCGTGTGTCTTTTACCACAACTGTTTCTGCAAGATTCTGGCTCATGGATTGTAGGAACATCAGCGAAGTTCCTAAAATGGCAACGGATCTTTATAAAGAGTCACTTTTTGTACCATTTATTACCAAGTACGTTGCAATATTATCATATTTCTTCTTTTTCAATTGTGGCTTTTTATTAAAATAATTTTTTTAATTTGCCAAATTTCAAAATTTAAATAAAAAGTTAAAACTTATATTTTTTGCTATAGACAAAAAATTATAAAATCTCTTTATAAAATAATGCTAGCATTAAATAAATTTTAGGGTGTAAATTAAAATTGAATTTAAAGTTAAAAATTTTTTTAAATTATGAAAATTCGAATAATAATTAAATTGTTGAAATTTTTGAACAATTTTATTTCTTAGCTTTACTCTATCTCTAGATACATAATTAAGAAATGACTTTGTATCTTGTGAACAATTGACATTTTTAAAGATATAAGCTCATCCCGATGTTACACTCATCGAGACCTTTCATTTGAATACCCACATCAATTTTTCATATATATATATATATAT